ATTATCTCTCTCTCTCTCTCTATATATATATATATATATATATATATATATATATATATATTATCACTACTTAATCATCATCATTGGCAGAACTCATTGCTGAGTATTGGGATGTTGCTTGACATTTTCCTTGTTTGTGATGTTAGATCTACAGAGATGTCCTAGGATTAAAGGGTGGGGATGGAGAGCTTAGGCTTTTCTTTGAGCTCTATTTGTCTCTTGTATTTGTGTCTTGTATTTGTCTCTTGTATTTGTCTTCTGGTGTTTTCAAAAGAATGGTGTTTATCATAGACTGCTCTTCTCCAATTGGTTTTTTCTGTAGCTTCTGTTTTCCAATTGACTGGATCTTAATAAGATAAAATTATCTTTCCTAATTCAGCATTAAAATTATTTGCATCATTTTTTATTGTGTACCAGACTAAGATGATTTTCATCAGCAGGTGGGTGCCTGATCTACACTGATTCAGTTAGTTAGTGATTTAAACCATTTGCTACTTTATTTAGTTCCATGTGGCCTTTCGCCAGTTTTGATCACTCTAAGAAAATATCGACTTTTTTTTTTGCTTTCCATTATGTAATCAATGGATTAAACATGAAACTTTTATTGTTTACCTTTTGTTCCCATTTCATTATTTTTACCTTAAAATTTGAACTATTTCATTTTTTAATCATTTCACCCAATCAAGACAATAAAGCCACTAAGATGCAATTACTAAGTGTGAAAGAATATGTGAAAAAGAAAAAAAAAACATTAAGAGAGAACAATAAAAGAACAGGTTAGGTCATATTTACATTGTTTGGACTGTTTTCCTAAGTTGAGGACAACAGTCTGAATGATATAGTGTAAATAGAATATCTCATAAATATAGAGAGGGTTTAGGTCATGTGTTGATTTGTGGCCCCCACAAAATGTAATGTTTTTTTGTTTATTTTTTAAGAAATTATGATGAGTAATGAAAAGTGGATACTTTACAACAATATAGAACGCAAGATCTCATTAGGCAAGAAAAGTGAACCATCGCTAACTGTACTTGAGGTTGGTTTTCATCCAAAGTTGATGCTGTGTATTTAGTGGGATTGAAAGGGTGTCATCTTTGGACTCTCTTCTGTGAATCAATTGATGAGTTTTAATTGGTACTTATCCCAATTTGACCAACTATATCAAGTGTCTGGAATTAGTTAAGAGAAAAATCATATTATTACACTAGGTCCATGCTGAAATACATGTTTCTTTGGTGAATAGGCAATTATTATTATTATTGTAAATCAATGAAACCATCAACCAAGCCCTTCAAAATAATGGTGAGGCTCGTGCCGTGGCCCTAGACATCTCCAAAGTGTTTGATAGGGTTTGGCATGCCGGCCTTTTTCGCAAGCTCCAGGTTTATGGTATTACAGGTCGATTGTTTGACCTAATACAATCATTCCTGTCAAACCGTGAATTGAAGGTCATTTTCAACGGACTCTCCTCCAGTTCCTATCCCACGAATGCAGGTGTTCCCCAAGGCTCCATCCTTGGCCAAACTCTATTCCTTATTTTCATCAATGACCTTCCTGACGCCATAGATTTCCAAGTTGGCATCTACGCAGATGACACTACAATTTACTCCTGCCTCAAAAACAAATCTAGTGTCGGTGACAAAACTAACCTGGTCGTGCGTCTTGAAATGGACCTCCAATCGGTTGTCAACTGGGGCAAGAACTGGCTGGTCAACTTTAACGCCTCAAAAACTAAGCTACTCTCTATTAATCACCATAGAGATCTTTCCTTGCCCTCCATTAGAATGTCAGATAGTCAACTTCTTGAGAGCAACTCTCTGTGTCTGCTCGGTCTCACGTTGACTGCTGACCTGAGATGGAACAAATACATTGAGTCAATTGCATCGTCCACCACGAGGAAAGTTGGCTCTCTGTGCCGCGCCAGGAAATTTTTCTCCCTGGAAATGTTACTTCAAATATACAAATCAACCATTCGTCCTTGCATGGAGTATAGCTGCCATATATGATCTGGGGCACCTTCTGTTTACCTCGGAGTTCTTGACAAGATCCAGAGACGGATATGTAATATAATTGGCCCTGATCTGGCACCTCATCTACAGTCACTCTCTCACAGACATGCCATCGCCTCTCTCTATCTTTTCTACAAATACTTTCATGGTAATTGCTCCGATGAGATGCTTTCACTAGTTCCCAGACTCCATGAATTCAAGCACCCTACGAGGCTGGCATCCCGCTCTCACCCTTACACTGTAGAAACTTTTAAAAAATTACTGTTTCCCTGAGAGCTATAATCTCCAACTATTCAAATGTAATGTCAATCGACATCTCCAGTTACTTTGATCTATTCACTATTCCTCTCCTCTCCTCATCCTTTCTTCTATCACTCCTATCTGCTCTTGCTCCAAATCTTCTGCAACCCCCTGCATCCTAGTGGCTTCATGCCTTGTTCGGGGCATAATGCTTAAAAAAAAAAAAAAAAATCAGCTAGGAAGTTTTCACTCCTCAGCCATATTCAGTAGATATATCTTGGTATTATGGAATTTAAAAACTGTGTTTTGGTGAGTTGTTAGTAGATGTGTGTTCATATGTAAAATATTAATGAGACGCAGACAAAAATTTGCGATTCTACTATGGACGGTTTATTCTTTTCTTTTATATAAACTGTAGTGAAACAAAGTTTCCTGTGTCTCTTGAGTATGTCTGTTTTTTTTTTTTTGGTCCAGAATTTAGGGTAAACAAGTATAAACATCAATATAATTCTCATGCTCAAGTCAAACTTGTGCAGATTTGGAATGACCAAAGAAAAGTTTGTACTAACTTTTTTGTTTGAGGGTTAGCATGGTCAAGCTCAAGTCAAACTTGCACCAAGTTGGAATGACTAAAGAAAGTGTTGATTAACTTTTGATGGTAGGGGGTTTTGGAACACACATGCAAATGCCATGTGTTGGAAAATGAAAAAGTTAAGTTGTCAGTGAATTGTGTAAATTACAGATGATGACATTCTTTGCCTATGTGTGAGTATGTCTGGAAGAAGAGGAAGGAAAATGTTTGTCTTTTTAGTCTTAAAATTATATAATTATTATTTGATTTTCCTCACAAGATTATCATTTATTGCACTCTTTTGACAATGGAATTATAAAGTTGTTTATAAGATGGTATCATATAATGAAGCAACACAGTAAATATGCTGGTTCATTAAGTTAATGTCAAAATAAAATGCTTTTTTTGTGGAAATTGAATTAAAATGTTTTTTGATTACTGAATACCCCTAGCACAGTGGAGGCAGCATAATACTTGCATATATTTATTTACATGCACACACTTGCACTATTTTTACCTAATGGATTGAACCATAGCTCTGGTCAACATACCAGCATTTTTGATATGATAGAGTACATACATTTGTCTTGTAGGTTAAAGAAAAAAAAAAGGATGTTGCCCTCAAAATCTAATAACAATCTTAGCAATTGAAAATTTCTGGTAACAAATTACTGAGTATTTGCAATTTGCTTTGTTGCTACAAAAATAAATAAATAAATAAATAAAATTAAAAAGTCACTTAAGATTCCTGCTTTTAATATAAAGCATAAACAGTTTTATGGTTTTAAAGTATATAGATTTCTAAAGAAGTTACATGACCTTTATAAGAGGTAAATAGAAGTTTTCAAAACATTTGTTTGGGAAATCTTGGTTCTAGGCTTTAAGTTAGGTACCAAGTGTAGAGAGATGGTTAACAAATTAAACTTACAGAGTTTGTTTAGTGAGTGGGATTCTTCTTGTGTAATTCATTTCTGTGTTTCCTTATACTAAGCTATATAAATATCTACTTACCTTGGATATGGTTAGTAAGCTTGTTTCACAAACCACATATACTTATGTAATAGTCTCTAATGACATTGTGTGCTTCATTTTTAAACCTGTACCAGTTAAAATTTGTAAATATTTTCAGAAATTTTCTTTTGAGTGAACAAGTTAGTTCTTGAGATCCTTGTTTGTGAATTTGGATCTTCATTGGTTCTATCAGATAATAGTAAAGTTTGTAACTATCTTTGAGCATTTAGGGTACAAGGTAACATCACAGACCATTGTTAGTATAGTGTGTTTCTCCTTGCTTTATGTCAAAATAAGCTACAGTATTTGTTTGCATAAATAACGCCCTTCAGTAAAAAAAACAAAAAACAAAACTTTTTATTATGTAATATTTAAAGCAATCTATCATTACATTACATATTGCAAAGGCATTTTAGCTATAGTAGGAAATATTACTGTACATAAAATAAAGCAAGCTAGTAATACTGAACACCCATCCTTTTACCAGTCATTCTCCTTTGGTTGTTTTGTATGAGGGACATATTTCTCTGAGACATAGTATTATGTTTCTTGGATTATTGTTTTACCATTAATGGTATTTCCTTTCAGTTAAACCTCTTTCTTTTATAGTCTCAAACAGATTAATGATAAGAGAGTAATGAGGCATATTTAGGTTTGTTGGATCAGATGATACCAACAAATGTTGCTTGTACTTGTACAATTTTATAGTCAGCTGGCTCAAGTAATACCAGCTAATATTTGTTGAGTGAAATATTTTTCCATCACCAGAGCCCAGGTCATGTAGAAATGACTGAGGTAAAATTATAGCCTATAGTAATGATTGTTGGGGATAAAATTCACCTCTTGTAGGCCTCTATATTAGATGTAGGATGATTTCTGATTTAATTTTTTTTATATAAATGTCACTTATGCTATCATATATGGTAGGCTTAGTAAATATTTCTGTAATCTTCATATCTGGATAGTGTAAAATATGCACTTGATTAATGATTTCTAAAGGAGTAATCGTATTGTACTAATGATAGGGGAACAACTGTATTATGTATTTAGGAACTAAATTCAGAAATGTTTCTCTTCTAAACAATCTCAAATGTTTGCTTTTTATTTTTTATTTTTTTTTAATTTTTTGAAAATTTTGTCAGCTGCTTTTTTTTTTCTGTCCATTACAGGCATTATTGATCTTCCAGACAACATCAAAGCTTGCAAGCACTTAAAGACATTGGAAGCCAGCATCAATCCTCTGGGAAAGTAAGTTGCAGTTTCAGAATGATTTTTTTTTTTTTTTTTTTCTAATGCGCATCCTAGTGGCATTATTTCCTTGCTTGGGGTGAAACAATTAAAAAATACACACACACACACACACACACACATGTCCTGACCAGCCATATATGTAATCATACAATTTGATCTCTTGTCTTATATCCATCTTTTGATCTTAAACCCAAATGTCTTCAGTGAACAACAAAAACAAAGAAATTGGTCTTGGTGTTCCAATGCTTTTAGAGGGGACTGTAGATGCAGGATGCGATGTGTAAATTGTCGATATTTTACATTTTTAATTTTGCACATGTGCATTGTTTGTTTATGATTTTGTCAACTGCACAGTATAGTAGGGTCAGTTGGGCACCTTCTGTGAGAAAAACCATGCCAGAAATTTGGAAACAGCATGTTTTACTGTTTAGCATTTGTGATAGAAGCTTCAATACAAACATTTCAGAGTGTTTGGGTGTCAATCGGAGGACAATGCAGAGGAGTCGGGAAGAGTTGGAGGAGTCTAATGGTGATTATGAAGATATGGCATAAGAAAAGAAATAAGAAAAGAACTCCCAAATTTGTTGGTGAAGGCCTCAGATTCAACACAGGGGCCTATAACAAGTGTCTTGAGGAGGTAGTGCTGCCCTGGGTCAAGGGGGTGGCTGCTGGAAAGACCCTATGTTTAGCAACAGGACTCATGCCATGTAAGCAGGAGAACCCAATCTTCAGTGTCAGATAATTTCTGTGAAAACATCATCCCTTACATCTAGTCTCCTAACTCACCAGACTTGCAAACCCCTTGATTATAATTAGTGGGGTGCAGTTGAGCAAGAGAGCAACAAATCTCCTTATAACACCAAAGATGAACTGAAGGCAAGGATTATGCCAGTATTCACCAACTTAAACAAAGAAACTGCTCAGAAATGTTGCAGGAGATTCCAAAGTCATCAGGTGGCTGTGGTTGAAACCAGTGGCAATTTTATTGAATAACTTTACTCTTTAGTATTTCAAGATATTTTTGTGCAATTTTGGTAAATAATCTGTTAAAATGAGATGTGTAATTTAGATGACAATTTATCCATAGCACATTGTATATATTGGTGAAGACCTCACATCAAACCATGTTGACTGGGACACAGAATCACAAACAAAGAACTGTACCAAATAACAAACTGTGTTACTTGAGGACTTTGATCAGCAACAAGAACTGAAATGGATAGCACATGTAACTCTAAGAGAAAATGACGACATAATCAAAATGTTAATGTTCCATACTACTTCAAATAAAATGATAGGACGGAAACTTCGTCAATACTGAAAACAGTGATAAAACCTACTGGACTTGAAAAACACATTTTCCTCAAAAATTGTTTTAAGAGAAAGATTTTATAAATTTTAACTGAAAGCAGTACTGGCTGCTCAGTCAATGAATAGCAAATGTTTCTTTATAAGGAAACAGTTAATATTACCATTACCATACACTAAAAAAAAATCAACTGACTACATGCAATTAATTTATCCTGCCCAATTTGTAATAAAGTATGCAGAAATAGGTACAAATTAGTTAAACATATAAAATGTTATAATATCAATATATAATCCAATTTTCTATGTATGTGTGAAAGCACATGAGATACCCTGCCCTCATCAGCCACAACCAGGGGAGGTAACACAGTTATGGTGGTACTGCTACTCTTGGCACCACCAGCAGCTTTTGCCATTGGCAGGATATTGTTTTTTGTAGACATCTCAGTCTCTGCAATTTCTATGCAACTGCAAGTCAGATTTTTAATGTTGTGTTAAAAAGGTTTGCTTGTGGTTGTTAAACAAAACATGATGTGTTTGTAGCGACCTTTATCAATGATGTAGAATGGAAGATAAACAGATGTTTCACATGGGAAGTAACACTGTTTTGCAAGCATGATTTTAATTATCTTTGTTTATTTTGGATCTTGACCAGATTGAACTTGATGCCTCTTGGGCTGTGGTCTGGAGATGATGTTATGCACTCTTCAGGCACCGGTGAGTGATCCTCACCTTCAAAAGAAACACATGGCACATCCACCCCTTTCAAAATGAGACTTTGTCATATTTGTGGAAAAAAGTGTAAATCTTTTTCAAGGCTTTAGAATCATTGTAGGTAATGCAATTTTATTTAAAGATTTTATTCTCTAACATAATTCATATTTATTTATAATTTTCATGATGTACATATGATTTTGTGAAAAATTAGTATAAAGGTGTAAATTATCAATGTAATAGAAATAATAATACTTGATTAATAAGTTGACAGCCATAAATTCTATATATAAGACACAAAATAGAACTCACAGCTAATGAAACTATTGGGACATGCACATAGATGAAGATGGTCAAGATTGATACATTGCTTTATTATTTATGACTTATCAACCTTTTGCAAGTTCTTTAAAACAAGGAACTATTTTTAGAGTAGAATTTTTTGGAAATAATGATTTTATTGATACAAGTCCTACTAATTAACCCATAGATGGAAGGAGAAGAGATGGATTCATATTTTTGTAAGGTTATCTGTGCATAAGTGAATATAATGAACCAGACTGGAATTGGAACTCAGTTTTCGGATTTCCAATTGTTAGCCATTACACTACATTTAAGCTTATAGCACCTGGTATTCCCAAGTGGCCACCCATCTAGATACTGACCAGGTTTGATGTTGCTTAGCTTCAGTGATCATATAAGAACTGGCTGTTAATCTAGGATGACAGTGTTTTGTCTTAAGTATTTTGTTTGTTATGACCAGCAGTAAAGCTTAAGAAATGTGATCTTCAAGGAGACACCCCCCCCACTTGATCAAAAGGGAATAAAATAATAGATAAATAAATGAGAACTTTTAAGAACCAGTAGCACTTGACCGGACATTAAAAACTTTCATTTACAGGCTTAGAGTAACAGTCACAGTTAGAATAGAGAGTAGTTTCCGGGTTGCTCATTGGTGGGTACAGGCTGTCTGTTAAGTGTGGGTTTCAAAGCCATGTGTCATAAGTAGAGGAGTGGTAGGATAGAGAGTTCTCACAGGGTGAAGGGAAAAGCTGATCTATCATCTATCATGACAGAAGTAGCAGAAGTTGTCCCAGGTTTCACCTACTTAGCTACCCCACAAACCCTGTAAGTGAATCCCAGTCATATATATTGGAAACTGTATTTGAAGTCTTCATTTCTCTAATACTTACCACCAGTTGTTTTGCTGTGAATGTAAATATAGACCTTTGTCAATTTTTATGCATATCAGTGCAAATGAGAATTGATGTAATGTGGATACAAAGTGAAGGACACAGGTTTGAGCCCTGCCAGAGGGCACATCTTAATAAAGATGATGTGCCCTCTGGTAGGGTTCAAATGCATAGGCCAGTAGATATAATTCACACTGTTTTTCTTTAAAAAAAAAAAAAAAATAATAATAACTCAAACATGTGTATCTATTAAAATACACCATTTAAAGTAATATATACTTCAGTCATGGTGAGTTATCTGTACACTGCATTATTGTATGAAATATATATACAATTTTGACATGGAAAATGCTACTCTGATCAAAGGGGGAAACAATTCACTATGATGAAAATGTCTAGAAATTGCCTTGATTGCAAGGTCATCTATGGAAAATTTGTGTTCTGGCTCTTACAACATTTCTCTATTCCTGGCAGAACTTCTATTGTCATAGTGTGGGATATCTACAAATAAAAGTGATGGAAAGAAAAAGGAGCTAAATGAAATTGGGTAGATAAAAAAAAAAAAAAAATTTTAAATTTCCAGCATTCTTGGTTTGCATGAATGTGTAGTTGTACCAACATAACAAATTTAGTCTGATAAAATCCTAAAAGGCCAAAATGTGCTGCAAAACTTTTACCACTTTGTCATACATTTTTCCCTCCTATATTTTATATATATATATATATATATATATATATATATATATATTTATTTTTTTAATTTTTTTTTTGTACTTATCTTTTAAAAAAAAATAATATGCATATATTCAGAAGTGTTTCCCTAGTATATTTACATAATTCCACTTGAAGAAGATTAGTGTATTGGGCTGATCATTACATTTTTACTATTGTCTGAAATTCGGAAGTGAAGTATTGTCATTATCTTTTTAATGCTTCAAACTAGTATCCTCATTTTTGTTGTTTTGGTCACATATCTAATACTGTTTTATTTTTTATTTTAATTATATTTTATAGCGTTCACCTGGTTGGTATTCAATTTAGAGCCCTTTAAATTTATATCCCAGACAAACCTTTAAATGAAGACTAGAGAGATTGTGTGTATTGGGGGGGAGAAAAATGTTTCTATTACCAGATGGAACATGTATACGAGGAAGACAGGAGAACCCATTTGTCAAAATCATAGCACATCTTTCCTCCAGGTCTCTCTTCACTGAGTCTCTTTCCACTTTATTTGTTCTTTCTATAATTATCCGTACCCCTCTTCCTATTCTGGGTATGACAATAAACTACGTCCAGCAGCAAGGCCTTTGATCAGGAGGTTTTGAGGAATGTGGAACTACCTCTTAATTGCTGGTGTTCCCAGGTCTACTCTGCCCCTGTGTGGTAGCACCTGTTAGGGTCCCAGTTATGGGTAAATAGTTAACCCATAAACTGCAGTCAAAACACTGTGAAAGTGAAAAATAGGTTTTAATACCAGAAATATTTTGTAAAAAAAATTGTTACCAGCAATACATTATTGAATGCCGGTAATACATTAAAAAAAAAATTACCTGCAATAAAAATATTGTCAATATTAAATAACCTATTGAGTTTGATATGCCATAAACCAAACCAAGCCCTGCCCTCTCAGCGTTCTTCATTTTATTTTCATCCCTTCTTCATACTTATCACTATTACTTTGAATTGCTTTTTTTCATATCCTTATTCTCTCCCGATTTCTTTTGAATATATAGTCAAATCTTAAATTTTTCAAATGATTATAGTCAAATCTTTTTCCTGATT